TTTTGCCCTTTAAGAAATCACCTCCTATTTGCAACAAAGATTCTTGTGTGTATGGATTCTCAGAGGTGTGCATCTATGTCGCAAAAGGAAGACCTTTAAAAGCGATAAGTGGTTAAAACTCCAGGGACGTCAAATTTGACATTTCACCCCACTTTTCAGCCTGGAAAAAGGGGGGGAGGGGAAAGACATGGCCACTAAAGTGGACAACCCCGTCGTTTCAAAGAGAGGACTGTATGGCCACTACAATGGCCATCCCATCTTCAAAAGGTTAAATAATTATCTCTACAAAATTCACATACAATTTTGTCAAGATTAGAGGCTAGGCAGCCAAATAAAATCTATTAATACAGTTGCTTTGTCAAAAGTATAAGGTATTTATAAATTTATCAGACACTCGACATTCTTGTTATTCGTAATACAAAACTGTTGATGAAATTTGAAAAGAATTATTTAATTCTTCGTTTCCATGAAACTATACTGGAAATTACTTTTTTAGTTTCAAATAAATGCTTATTTTAAAAAACTCCCCCCCTTCATTTTATTCAATCAAAGCGAGTATTTTTGAAAACTTGCTTATTCTGGCAATTAAGGGTTGCATATTGGATAAAGCAGATTTTGTAAACAAATTTGTAGCTGACCAATATCACAAATATCTCCCAGTACAGAATTTTAAAGCTTAATTTATTAAAGCATAATCACTCTTGGGGACACCGTATAAAAATTTGGATTTTATATCTATGAAAACACATTTTGAACAAAAATTCAAGGAAATAACTGCAACCTTCTTTTTCAAATAGTAGAATTTCACCATTGCAGGTACATACATGAATCTGTGATTCAAGGAGGATGAATATGGAATCAAAGTCAATGGATTTTTCCATTCTTACCTTCTCCCAATTTATTTCACACATCCCTCAATAAGTTCAGTCTTAAGAAGGTAGACAATTGCTTTTTAATAATATAAAGCTGGTATTCTGATTATGCAGATCAGCACTTGGAATTATTTAATTATAATGCATTTAACTTATGCACTTATTTACATACTGGTAAAAATAGACTTCTCAAAATTCGGTTTAATAAAGTGTTATAAATTATAAAAATTTCATCATTACTATATAATTCTATTATTTAATGCTGCAATAACAAAGTAATAAATTATTACTACCAAAGAACAACAGTTTTGTGACTTTTATCTTATTTAATAAAAGTGATATGTAGTTTACATAAAATTTATATGTTTTGAAAACTTTTCTTTTTTTTCAAATTTCCAGGCTGAGAATGAACATTAATGTTCTATTTATTCTTTCGAGTATCAGTCAAAGACATTGAGAATCCTTTCATGCTTCATCCTAAATTTCCTCTTTCTGGCAAACGAATCTTCATGTCAACCCCACCTAGATCAATTCTGTATTTTGGCAGAATGCCAGCTATGGTTGTATTTGTCATTGCCAAAATATACTTACAGTGGCACCTTATTTAATGAGATGGTGTAAGCAATACTTAGGAACTCATTCTTATGTCATTTATACCTTCACTACATACAATTTGTCTCTGTAATTGATTATGTATTTAATTTTTTTTACTTAAGTGGCTGCTGTGATTTAAAAGATTCTTAAGTCAACACGCTATTTAATGCAGAACTGTTATTTGAAACATAATTGTATTATAGGATTTTGAGGAGACATAAAACAAGGTTCCTCTTACATTTACACCACATGGATATGTCTAAAAGAAAGTGCTAGACAAAATAATCTGCTGAATTAATTTAATCATTCAATCAAATGGTACTTCCCATGGTGTAAAGATGCACTAGATAGAATTAATAAAATTATACTTGCAGGAAATCGTCCCTTGGAAAATAACTAAATCTAGAATAAATTCCTATTGTTAATCAGGACACTACTGTATAAGTAATTACAAGTTATTTTAACAATATATCTTTAAATAACAGATGCAATTTTAAACTTAATTTTTCATAAAAATAATTTTGGATGAAATTTTATCTCTTGGAAACAAATATTCTATCCATTTCATTTTGTTCAACAAATTTTCTTAATTTTTCAAAACTGTTAGTAGCTTTTTTGATCAGTACATTTCAGTTCAAGAGTTTTTCTTAGAATCTACAATAATTTTATTCATGATGTGAAGGCATCACTGTATTTATTGTCAGTTTTCATACAAGTTGTCACTATTGTTGTAAATTGGAATATATCCAAAACACAATTCTTCATAACTTTCCTCATTGTCTGAAAATTAGCAACAGTTTACATCTCCCATGAGTTTTCTTTTCCCTAAAGGCCCCATTTTCTTAAAACGTTTTAGAGATTTCTCCTTCATTGACTATAACACATGACCTCCAGTAAAAATAGAAGTATCTCCTTTGAAGTGCTTATATTTTCACAAAATTTAATTCTGTTCATTTGCTGAACATCATTTTTTTAATGACATTTAAATGCTTTTATAATACCCTAAAATTTAAGATTGAATGGTACATGCTGTTTCTACAGGAAGGGACACAAATGTTTTTCAGAAAGAGATCAGAGTGTGTGTGCTGCACAGTTATCAAACTAGTAGAGATGACTTTTCTGCTTGCTATCCCATTTAAAAAAAAGGGAAGGAGAGACTGAGAACATACAAAAGAAGGAAAAAAAAAAAATTAACATAGTAACACATTCCTTCAATTTTTAAAATATTACTACTACTCCATGTTCAGCAATGCACTCCAGTTTCCCTTGTATTACAAATTTCATTCGGCTTTTATTCATTTAAAGTCCAAGTAAAATGTATTTTACACAGTTATCAGCTCCTTTCTTCTCATCATGCAGTTTGATAAGATAATAATAAAAATAAAAAAAGGGGGAGAATTTCTCTTGCCTAACTTGTGAGCCATCTCAGCTGATTTAAATGATCTCTCCTAACACTTAGCTAATTAATGAAAAACATTTTAGTTTTATTGCTTGACACCATTCTAAAAAAGCAATGTCTCTTGGTTTGCTCTCTTTTTCGCACTTCTTGAAACATTTGCATTTATTATTATTCTGCATTAATTATAGTTCCTCGTGTAATATTGTCTGGGAAACTCCATTTAAATGTACATTTTTTCTGGCTGCAATTAACAAGCACATAAAAATCTTTTCTTCTTTTTCTTTAGGATTACATCTTTTGTGGTTGACACTTTTCATCATGTTACAAGTTTGGCACACAATAAATTAAAAAAATGTTTCTTCCAGTGATTTATTCAAATTTCAAAACTTACATTTCTAGCAAGTAGAAAGATTATCATTTGTTCCTTTAGTTGATCTCCAATTTGATGTCTACAAACATAAGCAATGCTCCCATTGCTTTTACTTCAGCCAATAACTATCTCCTTTTCATTAAAAAATTCTTAATGTACAGCAATGTTAAGAAGCATTTCATGAAGTTTTTATTTTTTATAACTTGGCAAAGCTGAAGCAGATTTAGCATTATCTAGGCTGCACCACAAGTAGGCCTGCTACATTACAACTCTTGCAACGCATAAATCAGCCGCTTTCATTTCATACTACCAAATTGTTTGTTAACCTGACTCTTAAGAAAATGCTTAAGGAGAATATGATTCAACGTGATAAGAGCTGGAGGATTCTGGGGGAAGAGACAACTTTCATTCTCGGTTTTCCAAGAAAGACGGCGGTAGCTCTATTCAGAACAGACACGACTGTTTGCGAGACAACCTCTACAGAATTGGAGTGGTGGATTCCCCAAACTGTATTTTGTGTAACTCCAATCAGCCTATGATTTTTGAACATTTAAATAATTGTATTGCACTTTCTCAGTATGAGGACATTGTGTTAAAAAGTACTGAAGAGTCCGTGAACTTATGGCTTAAGTACTATGTCTGGCATTTGTAAAATGAATACAATTTTGTATAACTCTAGTACTACAAAAAGATATTTCTCCATTTCTTAGACATTATGTGTTTGAATGCATTCATATTATATACAAAAATAATGGAACATTATCACGTATCAACATTTTGCTCAAATTTATTGAAGACACTTTTGCGACGTATCCAATTGAAAGAAAGAAATCGCACAAAGTCGGCCACTGAGACCTAATATAAGGTAATTGGGCGAGAATGTTCTGGATTATATACCGAGAACATCGGGGGGGGGGGGGGGGGGGGGGGGGAGAGAGAAGGTGTTTGCATTGCTACAAATGTAAGATCAGGAAGGGATCGCATTACTGGTGTTCGATTTGCAGAGTCCCATTGTGTATAGTACCGTTTTGTTGAATATCACCCCACAGCAGGAATTTAGATTCATACTTTTATATGTATAATATTTAATTTATTGCATTTTTTGTTTAATATGTATGTAATATATGCTTATGTTAACCAAATAAGTAGTATTAGTAATAAAATTTTCAATTTTATATATATATATATATATATATATATAAAAAAAAAAAAAAAAAAAAAAAAAAAAAATTTTCATCAAATATCTTACCAGCGCAACTTACTCTGCGATTGACAAATATACTCATCATGGCTCGATTCTGGCGACACAAAACATTGCGCACTCTTAAACGAGAGCGCCACAGTTTACTGGTTAAGATGACTGTTTTTGTTAACCTTAAGATAAGGAAAGTCAGGCTCTCTAAAGCAAAGACAGCCCACCCCCAAAAAACAGCGTCTCAAGGTATGGTGACCAGGAAATTGGAAAATTCCAGTCAAATCCATAAACAATAAAGCAACTGACCAAATTACTTTAAATGGACGAACCAGAAAAAGCTTTGACTCACACTGAAGTATCAGTCTTAAGCCATTTCAGTTTTAAAAAGCAATGGAGAGAGGTAGTTTTTCTATTGATCAATATGTACTTGTTTTGGTTCATGGGAATTTGAACATTTTCTGATTATTCAAAAATAGAATTATGTATCTTAATTGCAAAGAGAAATTGCTTCAAGTTAAAAAATGAAAATATGTCATGTTTTGTGAGAATTTGAGGAAAAAATTCTAAACATTTGAAAAATCTTAAGTTTTATAACACACTCATCATTATTCTTGTTGATACAAAAACCTCATTACCAGTAATGATGTATAAAACATTATATATATATATATATGTATATATTATAATTTGCTGTTGATATTGTTTCTAATACAGCATTATTTAATGGAAAAGAAACCAGATATAAAATAACCTGGCTTTCTACAGAACAAAATAAATTTATGCATTTCCTAGTTTTTTTTACACAATAAATATGTTTGCAGTGAGCCATATGAACAGTAATCAAATTTGACACACCTTCATAGTCTAAAAAAGGAGGAATACACTGCATTTTACATTTCAAACTTTTTTTTTTTACAACTTAATATCACAACTGGAAAGAGAAGCAAAAATATAAACAGGAAACAGAAAAATTACCTAAAAGTTAGCCATTTACATTTTTCCTTCCCATTCACAGTACAGAGGATTAAGTATACAATTATACAAGAATTTCAGAATTACATGACTTTTCACATTTAGGAACAGCATCATAGATGCTTCTCGCTTTCAACAGAGTATCAAAATAGATTTGCCGTGATAAAGGATTGAAAAAAAAGTTTCAGAAAGAATAGGATATGGAGACACTAATATTAAATATATTAAAATTCCATCAATGACTGTTAAATCTTCATAAGATACATGAAATCAAGGGGAAACAAAAATTTTAAGAAGGCACAACTTTAATACAATATATATATTACTTACAGATTCAGCAAATGGGGGAAAGATCTAATTTTGCAAAATATGCCCATTATGTACAAAAAATCTAATTTTCACCAAAAACTGCACTGGAAATAAGTCCAATGCTTTAGCATTGGGAGTGATGAGGCACATTTTTAAGAATTCAATTTACAATCCTCTAATCAACCCCCTCTTTTCTTAAAACAGCTTACCCCATTCCTTAGCAGAAAAATATGCAATACATTTTCTGCAAATCATTATACAAGTGAGTTTTTTTTTTTTTTTTCTTTCCTTTTTTGAATGAAGCCAAACTTTTTATATTTTGACAAAACAAACTTGAGTACAGTGACTGAACACAAAGTGCCTATCATACAATACTTTAGGTAATTTTTTATACACTATACTTTTTTAATTTCAAAAATTATTTAAAAAAAACAAACTATATATAATTGCACAAACAATATATCATTTTTAATGGAAATCCAGATTGATGTCCAACAAATCCTTGCATCACATATCATGACTTCTGAAACATCCGAAAGTTAACTTGATGTATCCATATACACCAATTGAAAGTAGTCTTTTAGGTCCAACTAAGTAAAATTTTATGTTACACAATCGTCATTCATCATCTACAGATTCTCCAGATTCAGCTTCCCTTAGCCACGTGAAAAATGATTTTACAGATTGTACAGCAACACCTTTGCCTTCCAATTCATTCGGATCATTACTCTGTTCCCAAAGTTTAAAAGTCTCTTCACTAATCACATCATCATCATATAAGATGTCAAAAATTTGTCTAAGAATTCCTGAAAAATCAAAACAAAATCATAAGATCTTCAGTATCAATAATCACTACAAAAGTATTCGACCGTAGCAATTAATTTGTTACTGACGGATTACTATTTTTGAAATGAGTAAATGCATTTACCTTTTGGTTGATTCAACTGATTCATAAGAGCCTGGATGGCATACAAAGCTTGAAGTTCTAAATTTCCATTATGATCTATGTATCGTGTCAAAAGCGGTATCCTCTTTTTTAGTCTCGAAGCATCGAGTTCATACTTTGGATCTGTTCCTAAGGAAAGCACAAAATATAAAATATCAAAATGAAAATAAATTATGCATTTGGTTATATATAAATGCTCAGTATTTATTTAAAATGTACACGTAGTAAAAACATAATTGTTATGAAAATACACAACAGCTTATGCTTACAGGCATTACAACAAACTTATGTTCAGTTTATATGCCTGAATATATATATGCATGGATTTATCCAAAAAAACATGCTTTCTCTTCTTCTACAAACACGTTTGTTCTTCAGTTATCATTATCGTTAAAATCTGATCCACAATTACATGATCTTAACAGCTTGATTTTTTCCCCTACATATACTGTATCAGAAATTATTTCCTCCATTGGATCCTTAAAATCTTCAAAATGATACATATCAGAATTTTATTTCAAATATATTTTATGTAAGTATGCAATGTAATATTTTAAGTAATATTAATGTAATTATTTATTATTTAATATATACATAATATTTTAGAATATGTGGAAGAGAAGCCACCAAATTTTAATCCCGAATGATTCAGGAACAGTTGCAATGAATTGACAATTTAGTAACTTGGAAATTCATTTACTGCTTGGAGACAAAAGTGCCTTTTCCATAGATAATTTTATTCCTTCATAACCAATCCTTAGGACAGACATTCTTTTCCACTACACATCACCAATATACGTGTGTGTATTGTACACCTAAAAATTCTGTACAGCTCATATCGTTTAAATAACATAGCGAAGCAAACAACATGAAGCAGGAAAAAAAAAAAAAAAAAAACTGATGTGTACACCACGACTTCCTTGTACGGAATATTAAATTATATGCATTTTTTCTTGCATTTTATTTAAACTTATTAGATTGAATTAAACCTACTTCGCCGACAGTGCATAAACCACAATAGAATAAATGCATTTTTTAACATTCACTTTGTTTACTATAGTGACACTCTGGCGCTAGGTTTACTTAACAATATTATATTTCATTCATATTATAACTCAGAATGCACAAAATGTATATCATTTAAAGAATTATCTAATCTTTGCCACATGTTCTATTCAAATACTATAATAAAGCCAGAACTATGTATAAAAGAAATTAAGCAAACAAACAAACAAACAAAAAAAAAAGTTTTTCACAGACAGTTGAGTATTTTTCATTTAATTAATTCAGTTCTCACTTTGCAAGAAGGCAAAAATACATAAAAAGCCAAAATATCTATATTAAAAATTACGAAGTAAATCTCAAACGCATATTTCCTCGAAAAAATTCCAGAAAGAATTAAGCATGATTTAATTGGCAATAATAAATGAAGGCGTTATATTTGTTGTTGCGAAGCTAAGTTTTTCTAGATTGGCAACAAATCCACTAGTCTCCTGTTTCAAATGTAAACATCAATGGCCGCCATTAAAAACAGGCTTAGCGGCAATTAAACAACTTTAAAATTGCTGATAATTCTAAAAATATTGCACACAGATTTACTAAAGGCATAAAATCCTTAACCGGAAGATAAAAACAACATAATTCAATCATTTTTAAAGCAAAAAATGTACAAACATATAAGAGTAAAGAAACTGAGATCACTGAGCCGGATAATAGAGTGGATATATATATAAATATATTTATATATGTTTGATGCGGCCGATTGCAACCAAAACACGAGGTGCACATCTACATGTTATAGCAGTCCTATATACAAAATTTCAATGTTCTGAGGCTACTCTTTTTTGAGTTATGCGAGATACGTACGTACGCACGTATGTACAGACGCCACGAAAAATTCTCTTCAGAATTCATTTTAAATAAGTTTTATAATTTTTTTGGGGAAAATTGTCTTTTTTTCTTTGCTTACGTACAGATGTCATGTAAGAACATCATTAAACTGCATACGATAGAAGTAAAAATGAATATTTTCGTTGAAATAATACCTGAAATTTTAGCTATTACAATACTTCCTTTTTACTTTGTACAGGGAAGTAAAAAGACTCCGACAGAGCATACAATAGTATATCTCCTCACTATTCAAAACCCAGACAAACAGAAATTTAAGTTCATATAAACCAGTGGTGCCCAACCTTTGGCCTCTAGTGTGCACATTTCCAAAACATCAACATTTTTGTTAAACATATTTTCAATCTTATGTGATACATCTGAAATATTAATTTCTTTAAGTGGTTTTAAAGATGATAATGATATTGATAAATCAGAGAAGCAGAGTTCAAATTTATTTTTTAGTGTATTTAAGGTTTACTGAGTATTTATCTGTTTCAATTGCCTTGTGGTTATTAATATGGCTTGATTTTTCAGTGTATTTAGGTTCTCTGAGTATTTATCTGTTTCAATTGCCTTATGGTTATTAATATGGCTTGATAAATTCTGAAAATGGGTAAATTTTTTTTTTCTTTCATCTGATTTATCCACGAATTTAACTTTATCTGAAAAGCAGTTACAGTTCCAGTCAATTGAAAAAGGGGTTTTTCTTTTCCCTAGAGCAGTTTGTTCAGTTTAGCTGTTACACCCGTGAGAAAATACAGATCGGATAACTAATTTTTATTGTCCAATTCTTTATAACTTTCGTTTCCCGGATTCCCAAAACTGCTTTATTGGCGAAAGAAGTTCTACAAATCGTTGAAGTACTTTTCCCCTGCTGAGCCATCTAACATCAGAGTGAAGCAATAAGATTCCATGTTCGCTATCAAGTTCATCAGTCAGCAATCAATTATTTTATAACGTCTTGCAAGACATCTCTTATGAGTATAAATGCTCACAATATTTTAACAATTAAGAAATATAAATGAATGGTTATTTTAAAAATATATTTTGTTCATAATACCTAATCGGGCTGGCGAGCACACTTGTGCTCGTGAGCACAAGGTTGGGCACCAGTGATATAAACTTTACACTATTAAATAGTACCACTGTACTATTATCTGTTCAAGAATGATGAACTTGAAAATCTGTATTTAGTATTTACAGAATTAGAAAAATTAAGGGAATATAATTGTTAAACAATGTCTATGAGCTAAGAATAAACCATATGATTCATATAACTTGCGAAAAATATGATATTTAAGCTACAATAAAAAGAACTACATATATAAATCTTGGAATGACCGAGAGTAGTCTTGTTTTTTTCAAAAATATCTTTATTTTTTTAAATGCCCAACTGTGGTAAGATAGCTTTCCTGCAAAGCGGTGTTAGAATTGTCAGAAAGTGGCAGGGAAATGCAGGTTTGCCAGATTTTGCACAGAATCGCCCAATTGCCGATAAAACTTGTAATGATGGAGCAATAATGTTCTAAAAAGCATTTTTCTCGGGAGTATTTTCAAAGGTAGGTTAAGGCTATATATACTCTGCCTGTGCACAGACAGAGCAGTGTACCTTGCGCGTGTATCAGATCTCGAATTCAGAGATTAGCTTGAGAGTGATTGACCGAGTCGGCAACTGTACTTTATTGCTTTGCTGTGAAGCTTTCTCCATCGTTATAGCCTGAAGGCTGTATTGTCCACTGTTTCAGTGTGTTTGGCGTAGTTTTTTTGACGGGTGTAAACACATCTTTTGAAATGTCCTGTGTAAATGCTTACTGGCAAATAAATTACGTTTTGATTCTTAATCAAGTGTTATCATCAACTACTCCAAATCCACGAACCCATAGAATACAACACTATTACTTTTCCCTTCAGAAGCACAGTCTATTCTTTCCACCCCTTAATAATGAGTGTAGAAAAATGTATAAATTATTCTTTACCTGTTATGGCATCTTCGTGTACAGCAGTGACCAAGGCACGAATAAAGGAAGGTTCTGTTAATGCATTCTGGGATACATTTGCCTAACAAAATTAAAGCACTTGATTTAAATTTATATAAATTTAACAAAGGGTGTCCTCATTTATATACAAATAATTTCTCAAAAAAGAATTTAACAATTTTCAAAAAAAAAAATTCTTACATCTATCCAATCAAATATTTCTTCACTCTCTTCAGTTTTCTCAAGTAAAATTTTTAAGTTCTTTTTTATGTCTTCTGGTGACATTTCAGTATTTGGTAGAATTTTTGTAGGACTAATTGTAAATTCCAATTTCTGGAAGAAACAAAAGTATAGATAAGCAATTAGAGCACTACATAAAACATAATTTAGATGTAAAATTTAATATGGTAACAATACTTGTAAAAACATCCTACTTATGACCAATATGATTTTTGTTCACAGATGAATTAAATACAATAATTTTCAACAAAAATACGTAAATGTTTCTATTTATGTATTTTTGTTACGACCATTATAAGCATTAACATTTATTTATACATTCAGCAGACAAACACTAGTATACATAAATATATATATAAAAATACCTACATAGGTATGTATAAAATCATCCACATTTGCACTGGAACCTAAGAAATCTGTCCACTGCAAACCAGATTCTCTCCATAATTCACCTAATTTAATTGTGCCCTAGAATTGCAAAATAAGATATACTAAAATTATCAGAAATGTTCACACATAAAGCAATTTGTAAAATACTAGCTTTTTGAAAATTTGAGCATTTTATTACAGCATTTATAATGAGAAATACATGAGACTGCAGACCTCAAGTTTTTATTTTTTCTTGAAAATTATTTTAAGAACTGTTTTAAAAAAATTAAGCCGTATTTTTAAAAATAAGCTCTTAAAATGTCAATTTTAGTAATTTAATAAACAAATTGAAATTATCAAATATCGGTGTGTGTTTATTGGTGTAAGCGATTTTAGCAAATCCTCTATGGCTATTTGCTTAAGGGGAGGGATGTCTTTGTGGAGGACTTTTTATGGGATACTGGCTTGTATACACGTTATGCCCATGCAGCCAGCCCATTTGTGGGATTCAAACTTCGGACTAAACTACCAGTGTTCAGTGACTTTACGGCACGGCTGTTGGTGGGCCCTTGAAATTATCAAATAATTTTATTATATGTAACAAATCTAAACCATTTAAAAATTATCCTATCAATTTTTTAATATTAATTTTAATATATCACTATAGCATTATTGTGTTAGAAAAAGCTGTCTTAAAATTCCATGTTTAAAACAACATGTCTATATATGACAAAAATATACAAGAGTGCTGCTGAGCAGTTGCAGCTCGAAATAAGCACTGTGGAACTGCAGCACCCCCTATTTCCACACTTATTATTATTTTTAATATTTAATATTAGTGTGTCCTTTAGTCTTTCTTTCTTTATACTTTTACAATACATAATCCTTAAGGGGTGTTTGGAACCCCAAAATCTTCAAAAAATTGTGATTTCGGATTTTTTCATTTTCAAATTCTCTACACCTTTATCTTTCTAAAAATACCATTCTTTAATCTGCATGAAAATTAGAACTGTAAAAAAATCTAGTTTTAATTTGTCATCTATTGCTTTGATCAATGAGGATTTTTACAACAAAAAAAAAAAAAAAAAAAAAAAAGAAGAAGAAGCTTTTCTCCAAACGTGATTTTTTTTATACTCGATGTATCTTTTCTCAGGAACTACTGCTCACAGGTATCTAAACTTTTTATGGCTTATTTATTAGGTTACCTAATATTTACTGAAATGAGCATTTTGTAATAAACTTAGAAAAAAAAAAAAAAAAAAAAAAAATTAATTTTTTTTTTTTTTGGTGAGAAATGTGCTAAATTTTACTATGCCTTACAAAATATTCTGTAATTTACTCTAAAATTCAAAATGTTTCAAAAGCTCATTTCAGAATAATCAGATAGGTATACTTTAATTACAGAAAACATTTCAAGCTTGTATCTACAGCAGATTTTGAGAAAAGGTACATCGAAAATGGCCAACTTAACATTGTTGGTATAGGGGTTTCTGATACCCCTTAAGCTTAATGTCAGTTGCCATCCCCTACTTTGTGAAAAAAGTACGAAATTCTTTGTTTGAAACAGCACGCTTCACAGTTTCAGCAATGTGGTTTTTGGCTGTTCTGCGCATACGCGCACAAAAAACAGCATGCGAGCAGGTAGCGAGAAGAGCACTGTCGCTCTTGCAGTGCCGGAATTGTGGCATGTTGTTGGAAACGTGATTTCTTTTTACTCCGCGCGAGTGGTATTCCTTACAAGGTGGAACTTCATCATACGGACCATAAACAGAGTTCATGAAAATTTGCAACCTTTAAAAAATTGCCTTACTGAAATTCAATCAACATCAAATGTAGAACAAACTATTGCAAAAAACAACAGGAATTTAAAAAAAAAAAAAAAAAAAAAAAAAAAAACTATATGATGATAATTTCAAGTTTTGGTTAGAGCTTTTTTATCAGATGCCTATGTTGAAATAATATACAACTAAATGCAATCCAGGGAAATTAGTGTGTTGTTTAAAATTAACGAATATATAACAAATTTCAAAACTGCTATTTTAGAATTAAGAAACTCAAAGTACTGTAAGAATTTTTCAAAGACACTGATGGCAGAAGCTAAGGAAATATGTGACTTTATACTATGTATTGATATTAATGCACAAATATTCTTCAACTAAACACTTAGCAGCTGCTAAATTGTTAAACAAGAAATGTTTCGCTAGTTTTAGGAATGAACATTCTACAGAAGAAATAGTACTGACCACTGAAGCATATTTAATGATTGACAGAGAAAAGCTTGAACTGCAAATTAATTGAGCCACTGAAATTTATCTTTGAAAATAATCTAGATGATGTTCTTAGTGAAATTACGAAACAGATAAAAATTCTCTTGAGAGTTCCCATGACTACATCAGAAGCAGAATGCTGCTTCTCAACATTGAAAAAAATGAAAACTTTTCTAAGAAGCACTAGGAATTCGAAAAGACTAAATGCGCTTGCATTGATTTCAATAAGTCTCCTCAGTTGTCATCCAGAGATCAAGGAGAAAATTATTGATCTTTTTGCGTAAATTAAAATAAAAAGAATGGATTTTATATTTAAATGAATAGACAAACATTGAACTGTAACAATTTTGGTTAAAGTAATAAGGAAATGTTTAATTTTTTTCTTGTAAGATTTCATGAAGTTTCAAAATAAATTTTCTTTTTATACATGTTTATTTTCTTTTAGACAATTTTAAAACAAAGGTTAAATTTTTTTGGAACAGCACCCGCACTAATTTTAGCCACGAGCCGCCACTGCTGCTGAGTATATTGGCTGCAAACAATTTTTTTTTAAATACCCTGAAAGACTTTTGTGAGCCTATTGACAATTTGAAGGGCAACTACAACAAAGCCTATAAGGTATTTTTGTATAAATGTACAGTGGACCTTGAGATCATGAGCCCCTCTTTTCACAAAACAATGAATCAATGAACACATTATCTTGAACAATCTGCCTTGAATGATGTTTCAAGTTATGAATACTAAAGCTGCCAGTAAATGAGTTTCAATAATATTTTTAGATAGTCTGAAATACTGAATTACCACTCAGGGTCTTCTAGAAATGTTTAAATATATTGTTACAACTTTTATTATCAAAGCCTGCCAGCAAACGACATCAGAATATTTTGGTCTGAAATTGACTTGGTAATTAGTAATTTAGTCTGAAATAATTTATAAGCGGAGACTCTGCAGACTTCTCTGTGATTTATGATTTGTTTTCTTTAAGCAAACTTTGGAAGATAATAATGAAAAAGTGGAAAAGTTAAAAAAATTAAAAGTAACAACTTGATTATGAAGGAATTTGACCTCAAATGCACTAGCAAAAGGTAATTACGATGGAAGTTTTTTTCACAGGAAGAGAAAGGGGAAAAGGAATCTAGATCTTTGATTTCAAAATTTGGGGAGAATGTGATTAAATGTTTAGTGTAAGGATATCAGCCTGATAAAGTAGTTTCGATGACAAAGCCATCTCACTTTAAAAAGAAAAAAGAAGATAAAACATGGATTTCCCAAAAGTAGTATCTCTCTCTCTCTCTCTCTTTTTTTTTTTTTGCTTTGCAATGGTGAAAAATTTTGGATATCGTATTTCTATGAAAAGCTATATTTTGACTAGTCTCAAACTCAATTCAACAATATTTTTGCATACCATCTGTATGCATGGACAGAATAAAGAACTCTTTTTCAAAATGAATTTAAAATGGTTTCAAAAGAGATTTTTTTCATGACGTCTGCACGTACAAATCTCACATTACTCAAAAATGAGTAAACTTAAAATGTTGAAATTTTGTATATGGGACTGGTTTTTGTTGCAATCAGCCACATCAAGCATTTATAGATACATATATTCCCACCCTGTTACCCAGCTGGTTGAGCTTAGCATTTTTATTCTAATGTATTGGTCAAAAGTGCATTTATTTTCAATTTATTCATGATATAAATACATACCTTTTTCTTAGCTGCACAATGAAGTACTGCAGAAACTAACTTCCCAGCTGTTTGAGAAGGCATACATGGCTCTAAAACATCCTTCAAAAATGTCAAAGGCAATTTGTTATCTTCTATCATAGGTTCTAATATTTCACCAATATATTCCCATATTAAAGGAATGTCCAATGCATAGTCATCTAAATTTTCTAAAATACCACAAAACCTATAACAGAACATAAAATTAATTTTTATAAATTGAATATCCAAACAACTTTTTCAGCTGTACACTTAATTTTAGTCAGTGAAAATACTGGAACCTGACATAGTAACCCCATTTATCTAATATAAAATAAAATAGGGAAAACATGCCTATTTATTCACATTATCCTCTTAAAACTCTATGAAGTGTGTAAAAAAGTAATCAAATTGATGCTTTTATAAATTTTTTATTCAATTAAAACTATGATCTTGACCTGTCTTTAAAAATAGTGGCCTTGGGACTCCACAGCGTTTGAGACAATATCTCCACTCTTCACAGCTACGCTGGAACTCAAATTCAGGAATTGCCTAAAATGACATACTTTGAGGTAGGTTTTCAATCTTGGGAATAGGATAAAGTCACATGGACTCAATTCAGGGCAATAAGTGGGCTGAGCAGCAACAGGAATATTTTTATCTACCAAAATGGCATTAATTGAAAATGCAGCGTGATATAGTTCATTGTCATGATACAGTACCCAATTGGTCTACAAATCTTGGTCTTACATGCCATGACTCTTTTTTTTAAAATCTCTCAAAAACTTAGCAGTAAAAGTACTGTTTCATCATTTGGCTTGGCCAAACTACTGTGGACAATACCTTGGCCATAAAAAAAAAAAGCAAGCCTCTTTCTGATCTTCAACTATGCACATTCTTGCTTTTATTTGGCAAGCTTGAAGCACGCAATTCGTGGTTCCGGAGAAGTATTTTTGGGTACCGATTTATCAGCACTAATGACACGTTCTAGAAACTGAGTATCATTTTCACTGCACTCCAAAAAATCATGGTATTTGTCCCTCCTGTTTTCTTTTTCTCTTTGTGGAAGGTTTTACAGAATAATTTTCACACACATTTTCTTTATCCCCAATTTATTTGTCAAAATTTAACAAACAGTTGAGTGATTAAACTGTTCTTCACTCATTTAACCTGTCAAGTGACAATCCGAATGCACAAGGTCCTGAATTCTTGCAGTTGCTGGCCTTAGCTTGCAAGTTTTGTCTTCAATTAATTCCTTTCCTGAAACACCTGATAATCTAGCCCCTTGACAAAAAACACTGTCACTATAGGGCTGCTGAAGCTCTGCTAAAGTCTTATGGGAAGTCTGACATCACTACATTGTTCAAAATTGATGTCACTCATTTTCAGAAAGCACATAAAAAAAAAAAAAAAAAAAACTGAAATGTTTCAGATTTTAAATTATGTCCAAAGGGGCGTTTTTTAACATTTTGTGTGTTACCTTTCTTTATTAAATATCATGTTCCTCGCACTTAAACCATAAGATCCAGTGCAACAGCAATATCGCAAAATAGTTTTAAAACGAGCATATCTTTAGAATTTCCGATACAGAGACTCACGCGCTGGAGATAAAAATGTTTTTTCTGCACAACGTTGCCATTGCTCGCTTTGAAATCCTTGAAATTGTTAATTAGAAATTCGTCAAAGTTTTAAAAAATAGGAAATCGATCATAAAACAAATTTCAAATTTGGTCTTCCATATGCTCATATTCGTTGGAGGATTACGTTATTCAAAATTCGATGAATCTATGTACCGTTATTTTATGACAATGTGAGAAATATACATACATTTACGCAGATTTTCATTATTTAATTTCTTCAAATATAATGCAGGACTCCAACATTTTATGGCAACAGTTTGAAAAGTGAACCGACATTTATCCGTCCGACGCAAAATGCCAAAACGAAACTAATAGTCCTTCGGGATTCAAATCCCTTTGGACTAAAAAAAAGAAGCTTATGAAGAAAATATAACTGTAGTCAAACAGACCTATGTAGTTCAAGCTCATACTGGCTATGCATCAAATGCTCTCTCACACTTTTTGCCAAACATGACAGTGTTGCCAGATCAAATGCTATGCTTGCAGTCTTATTAACTTATTTACACACCTCATTCGTGATCCTGCAACCAACAGAAGTCATGGAAATGCTTGTTTGATTCACTAAAAAAAGCATGTATTTAATCTTCTGACTCTATTAAGTTTTAAGTTTTTCAATAACTGATCTGAATGTTGAATGTACATGAACTATATGCAGCACACACACACACACACACACACACAAAAAAAAAAAAAAAAAAAAAAAAAAGGAGGCAATCATGAAATACTTTCACCATTTTTTAAAACAATTTTTGACAGTAATATGAACAATACTTTTATTAATACTATGCTATTTTTATAGACAGTGGAACTCCAGTCATCCAGATTACTTTTTATTAATTATTTAAACTACAAAAGTTTTATCATTAATGATGTATACACAGATCTAGTTTTGTTTCAGGAAGCTTGATACAACTGAATGAACTAGCATTAAATTCAGAGAAATGAATCAAGTTTACCCTTTTTTATATTGCTCTAAGGTAATTATTTTCTTCTTCTCCAGAGAACACAATAATTGGCCCAATAAATACCTAGATTGACTAGACCGTTCCAGGACTTGATTAATTGCTGCATTAATAAAATAATGAACAGTGGTTGGAGAAGCCAGCTCCGTAACACATTTTACAGCTTCCTGGAAAATAAAATATATATCCATGAACATAGCAAATTTCACCAAGGAATACTTTTACTTAAATATAATTCAATACAGCTTATGAATGTACCCCGTTAAAAGCACAAATCTTACAGAATTAATAGTTGATTATTTTCTAATAATGAATATTTGATTGACGGTAAACATAGTTTTGTATTTGAATTTGAAATGGGGAGAGAAAAAGGGGGGGAAAGCTTTCATGTAAATGCCCATTTCCATATTAACTTTTCAGATAAACAAACAAACAAAAAGCTGGAAGAAAATGCAGATTTATAGAAAAGATTTTCCTACTAACCAAAATAAAAAATAGTTCCATCCCTTTTACGAATAGAAAGTAAATTGTGAAATGAAAAATCAAAATGGACATTCAAATAAATGAACTTATGAAAAGGGAGAGCAGTCCAAGCTATTCTAACATACATTAAAAATCTGATGTGTACACCACGACTTCCTTGTACGGAATATTAAATTATACGCATTTTTACTTGCATTTCATTTAAACTTATTGGATTGAATTAAATCTACTTCGCCGAGAGCGCATAAACCACAATAGAATAAATGCATTCTGTAAAATTCACTCTAGTATTTGTTTACCATAGCGACACTCTGGCGCTAGATTCACTTAACAGTATTATATTTCATTCATATTATAACTCATAATGCACAAAATTTATATCATTTAAAGAATAGAATTATCTAATCGTTGCCACATGTTCTATTCAAATACTATAATAAAGCTAGAAGGATGTATAAAAGAAATTAAGCAAACAAAACAAAAAAGAAACAGTTTTTCACAGACGACTGAGAATTTTTCATTTAATTAATTCAGTTCTCACTTTGCAAGAAGGCAAAAATACATAAAAACTCAAAATATCTATATTAAAAATTACGAAGTAAATCTTAAAACACTTATTTCCTCGAAATAAATTCCAGAAAGGATTAAGCATGATTTAATTGGCAATAATAAATGAAGGGGTTATCTTTGTTGTTGCGAAGCTAAGTTTTTCTAGACTGGCAACAAATCCACTAGTCTCCTGTTTCAAATGTAAACAATCAATGGCCGCCATAAAAAAAGGCTTAGCGGCACTTAAACAACTTTAAAATTGTTAATAATTCTAAAAATATTCCATACAGATTTACTAAAAGCATAAAAACCTTAACCGGAAGACAAAAACAACATAATTCAATCATTTTTAAAGCAAAAAATGTACAATTTACAAACATATAAGAGCAAAGATACTGAGATCACTGAGCCGGGTAATAAAGTGGATATATATATAAATATATTTATATACGTTTGGTGCGGCCAATTGCAACCAAAATTCGAGGTGCACATCTACATGTTATAGCAGTCCTATATACAAAATTTCAACGTTCTGAGGCTACTCGTTTTTGAGTTATGCGAGATACGTACGTACAGACGCCATGAAAAATTCTCTTCAGAATTCATTTTAAAGCAGTTTTCTAATTTTTTTGGAGGAAAAGGGTCTTTTATTCTGTCCTTACGTACAGATATCACGCAAAAACATCGTTAAATTGCATTCGATAGCGGTCAAAATGGATATTTTCGTTGAAATATGCTGCCTGAAACTTTTCGCGATTACAATACTTCCTTTTTACTTCGTAAAAGGAAGTAAAAAAAAAAAAAAAAGGGGGGGGGGGGGGTTCAAATTATTTCAGAATATTTCATTTTAGAAGTAAACTGTTCACTCAGTTTTTTGAAAATCAAAGCTCTATTACAGAGCAATACCAAAACTATATAATATATATATATAAAATAATAATAATTCGACACACATGCATGATATTTTAATTTGAAATGGGGAGAGAGAAAGGAAAAGTAAAAGCCTTCATGGAACTGTCCATTACATATTAACTTTTCAAATAATAATTATATACTATTTTTAAAATTTGCAGACTTGATGTTTTGCATTAACTAAAAAAAAATGTGAAAGCTGCAAGAAAATATAGATTCACAGAAAAGATTTTCCTATTAACCAGAATAAAAAATAGTTTCATTCCTTTTACGATTAGAATATAAATTGCGAAATGGAAATTCCAAAAGGTAAAAAAATAAGAGCAGTAAAATAAACGAACTTCTGAAAAAAGGAAGATTGGCAGTCCTAGCTATTCTAACATATATTAAAAGAAGAAAAAAGATTATAAATTATTTCAAAATATTCCATTTTAGAGAGTTAACTGTTTAGTCGGTATTCTAGAAAATCAAAACTCTAGTACACACTAATACCAAAACTAAGCCTATAAAAAGAAAAAATAATTCGACACACATGCACAAAAAAAAAAAAAATTAAAAAGAATTCTTACCTCAAAATCACTATTGTGTAAAAATTCATCGATTAAGGGTTTAGTCTTCTTTTCAACATCGTCTTCTGACAGTTCAACTCCTCGTAAAGCAACAGCTAAAAAAAAATTTAAAATATTTCGTACTGTTAAAATTAAATAATTGCCAAAGAGCTGCAGATATATTCAAAAATATTTCTATACATATACTTCTACAACAATCAAAGGTAAATGACCGTTTATATTTACAACAAATTACCTATATTACAATGAACTACAGAATTTTTAAAATTCTCCTTAAAATTTCTCGCAGTTCAATTTCTTCCACATAAATTTTATGCATGCTTGTTATGTGCATAAACAGATGAAAAAATTAACTGAGTAAAATGCCAACGTCTCTTTGCATAATGTATAACTCTCAACTTATTTATTATTTTGCTATAAAATCTAGAATTCAATAAAAATGCAGTTACTCAGATGAAAAACTGAAAGACATTTAATAAGAAAATCCTTTACTTTCTTACTTCACTTTTAAATGATGAGCTATACACTAATCTCAATAAATGCTTCTGCAGTTTTCTAATTTCAGCAGCAGCTTTACTGACTTTTTTTCCCCATCATCTCTCTAAACATCTAAGGATTCTTTGGGCAACCAAGCACAATATTTTTGATATGAAAAACTTATTCATTATAATCACACCATGGTAGACTAGCCCATCATACAACCAAATAAGTGTTTTAAACTTCTCAAATCACTCTCAGCTGCATGACAAAATTATTTCAATGAAACTCCAAACTTACTCAATTCACTTTAAAATCCATGGATCAGTTTATTGTACTCAATACATTTAATTAAATATTCTAAATTTTATGTTCTTTTGCAAACTTCATTTTTTAATTTTCTTAAAAAGAAAATCGTGTAGTGAAGGAAAGGTTATAAGTACTTTTAACCCCTTTGAGCCGGGTAGCGAAAACGTGCGCTTATCGCTGAGGCCGGCAGTGTTTTACGCGAGCGTCTCTCCAGGGTCGGGGGCTTTTTTGCTACTAAGCCTAAATTCATGAAATTTCCGAAGTATCAACGCATTGTTTAATAATGCTCTATAGAGTATTTAAACGGCTTATGCTTTATAAATATTTTATATATATATATACTTTAATTACCTTATTTCTTGTTTATTTAAATGCATATTTTACACATTTTATTTTAATTACTCACCATTTTATGAATTTTAACATTATACATCTAAAAACTAAATATATTACTTAAAATTCTCTTTTCGTATGAAAAATTTGAAAACAGGGATATACACACAGTCCTACGTTACATTCCTTGCACTCGTAATAACTCATTTGCCGTTTTGGAGGATTTTTCCGGGAATGTGAACAAACGAAGCATCGTCGTCTCATTTTCTTATCAGTCTCTTCTGAACAAAGTTTTGAAAAATGTCTTTCAGTTAATCTTTCAGAATCAATATCTGAAATATTTTGCATCATTTCTGCTATTTCATGCTCTGTTAAACATTTTCGACGCTTCGACATTGCAACGGTAAAAACAAAGAATTCACGTCTAACAAGATCTAATTATTTTCTAAAAACTGAACTGCAAACCAAAATACCCAACGCTTTAGAGCAAATAAAACTTCTCCACTTACAGTAAACAACTACCACGTGCGAATAAAGTGCGATTTAAAGAGACGTCATAAATCACACCATTTGGAAACATTTACTTCCCTGTTTGTTTATATAATCAAAAACACGTGTATGTGAGTCATGCTTCTCTCATTTCGAGTAGAAGGTCTAATTTACATGTATCTGAAACCATATGGACATATAATGCCATCTTGTGGCAGAAATTATAGTTTGAAAAACGTTCCAAAGTACTGGCACAAATACGTGACAGTCGGTAGAGAACGGAACAATCCTCTGGCACGCCTGCATGTCGGCTGGTAGGTAAGTGTGTTCGTTGCTGGCACGTATACGTGACAGTCGGCGCGAAGGGGTTAAATATGAAAATAATGAATATGGTACTTGTGTGAATTAATTCAGTAATCTACCATATGCTGAAGAAAACAAGATTAAAAACAAATATTAACAGAATAAAAATTACATGATTCTATACTTGTCTGCAGTACGTTCAGGCAACTCAGATCACAGCATAAGACAGATCAATAAAACGTAATCAATAACCACTAGCTATTGGGCACTTACTAAGGCTGCAAACACCTAATAGCCTTATAAATATAACAAAAATATAATTCAGGTAAAATAAAATTTAAGAAAAAGTATTCTGAAAATTAGAGAATGGAATTTCATTAATTTAAGTATCATTAATTCAATAAAATTTTATTTATTGCTGGGAAACATTTTTCATTTCGTAAAGGCTAAATATTAAAAACTGGGAGGCTCAGTGATCTAACGGGAGACAGGGTTGAAAACTGGGAGAGTTAGCATCTATGCACTAATATAATAGGACATTGAATAGTACAATCACAATAAACCTTAGAAAGATCTTGCAAACTTAGCTTTTCCAGTTATCACCCATGACATGAATTTACTACAAATAAAATTGATCTTCCTAGTAATTTTCACAGAAATTCTAGTATTTCTGCTCCAGTTAGGATGTTTCTATATTATGTATGATGCCAATTTGAGATTCTAGGCACACGCCTGAGTTAAGAGTTTCTTTTCAGTTAAATGCCACTGGATAATTCCTCTATCATGCCTTAATCCCTGCATCTTAAATCTGTTTATTCAAGATTTCAACAGACAATTACTATTTTTTAATGCAGTTAACTCACCAATTTTTGAGGTTTATTCTATTCTAATATAAAACATATTTTTAAAGCTCACAGTGTCTCTCAGTATATATATATATATATATATATATATATATATATATATATATAAAAACACCTTTCGACTTTTGATGCAACAAAGAAGGGAAAACTAAAGTGTTATTATTTCAAAAACACAGGGAATAATGAATTCAGTACCATGCAAAATATAAAACTCAAGGGGTTTGAGAACTTTGCCAGATACTATATATGTTTTCATTTAAAAATGAGAAACTACACACAGATAAAAACAAAATACGTACTGGAAGACAGTCTGACAATGGTAAGCAGATTTCAACCGTATTATTTCATTACATCCATTGAGATCTTTCAAATGAACACCAAGCTAATAGTCATTTACATTTAATTTATACTTTTTGTACCTAATATCTAGCCCTCCAGCTTAATCATTATTATAAGAACCTATATTTTAACGAACAGCTAATGAAACAATTTTCTTACCAGGTCCATCAACTGCTTTGCCATTGAGAAGAGACTCTGGATTCCTTTTAACGTCTTGTGCTTTAGGTTCACTAACACCAGCCCGAGAAGCTAGACCTTTAATTGTTTCAAGCAGATTCTCTCGCTCTTTAGATGTAGAGGGCGTTTTCCTTACAGGTGGAGTCATAGGATTATTGCGGCCACGACTAGATTCGCGACTTGAAGCTGCAGATCTAGAAATATCAATAAAAGATTAAAATTCAATATTCCAAGAAAATGGGAAAAATTGCAGTTACACATGCACAATAACAGAAATTTGAACCACAGGTAATAGAATAATAAGAATTACCTCTGAGCACCACGCCTGGCTTCATAATTTGGAGCCAAATTTTGGTCAGCAAGTGCAGAATACCTGATTGTTTTCAAAAGGTTAGAATTGTTATTACATTCTACATGTGTATTATTATTAAATACAATTTGTCTGGATGCCATTAGTATTCAGAAATAAAGGTTATTGTATGTTTTATTTACCTGTTTGCTAAAGGAGTTTTGGCATCTGAATCACCAGATGTTTTTGTACCGCCACTACTACCCCTACCCCAACTCTGAAGGCCTCTTCCACCAGGACCTAAGCGAATACTTTCCACTTCATCTGGCTATACAAAAGGGAACAAATACAATCAAAATATTTTTCACATTTATTTCAAACTTATGTAAGAAGTATAAAAGAAAGAGCATAAAGCTTTATAAATTTCAAATAATGAACTCAATAATACCTTAGTTAACTTCAATTTATTAGGATCTACAACATTATAACTTCCTTTATTACTCTTCGATGATGGAATCCAGCCTTCTTCTGACTGACCTAAATTGCGAGCTATGGGGAAGACAAATAAATTAAATGATTATACAGTTTTGCTTGTATTTTTTAGAAAAAGACAACATTTGTTGGCTTGGTATATCCTTTCGTTCATATATAGATACTCAATACTTATTAAAGACAAACCACAAAAATTTTTTTTTTGATTTGTTACAAATGAATTCCCAAATAGTAATTTTCATTAATAAAATTAAATACAGGTGATGCACATTTATAAGAATAACATGTTTTTTAAACTGTCACACTACGTGAGGTTTATATGACAGCTGAATTAAGAGCACCTAACAGCACCAATCTCACTTAAAAGGTTAACAATAATAAAATATTCCAAGAGTTGAAAACCTCGAAATTCAACAGAAATGTTTGGTTACTTAAATAACCATACATCTTAAGTATAAATTTGATGCATATTCAGATTCTGAAATTGTGAAATATAACAAACAATAAATGAAATTTTGGAATTTCATCAAAATTTTCTAATAGTTAAATGCAATTATCAGACATGAACAGATTTTCATTCCATACTGTAGATAACAAAATGATCACAGGTAAAAGATAACTTCACATAAAAAACAGAATGATTAAGATGTCCGTGAATAAAGCTGGTCTAAACATGAAACCAAAACACTCACTGCCACCCCAAATGTTGTAACATGATCATAGATGACTTTCAGAATGGCAACTATTGCTGCTCAAACTAGTAGCAATTGACAGCAAACCATGCTGAAATGATGATTACTTTATGGACGCCACTGTAGATGAACTCCATAGAAATACTTGGTTTTATATATCATAATTTACAGTCTCTGAAAAACTCCCTACAGACAAAGTGTTTTATGTTTGAGCTGCAAAACAAATATCAGCATCTGAAATAATCACAGTCCCTACTGAAGAACACTACTTGATTTAATTTGACAGCAGTTCACCTGCATTGCTGCAACCAGTGCAGTGGATCATTATAAGAGTCTCGATACATTTTATATCTGCTATTCCGTCCACTGTGACTTTAAAATCACCAACAGTATATTACTCCCAATTTTTTTTTCACCCATGATTATTCCATTTCAAAATAGAAAGGAAAAAACCTAACAGTTTCTTAAAATTTTGCACTCTGAAAGAGAGGCTAATATTTATGCAGTGCATTTGAAAACAAAAATCTAATACAATTTTACTTCTATAACTGTTATTATTTTTGCATAGCTCTTATATCCCTAAAATTTATGAAATATTAAAAGAAATACCAGCAGTCTAAATTTTAGAATAATAATAATAAACTAACAAGAAAAACTGCAAACATTTACCTGCACTTTTCCTCCTATCACGGTCATCAGGCATTCGCTTAGAATAATTCATATTTGAAAATACTTGCTGCTGCTCACGAGCTTCTCTTTCTGCTTCTTTGTGAATCTGATCAATAGTTTTAGGGTTATTCTCATCTCTTCTTGGAATCCAATTATTCTACAATAAAGGGATAAAACATTATTTACACTTTAGTCTAAATCTCAATGTATTGCTTTGGGCCAATTTTCAGTAATACCAGCTATTTTTCAATATTACTTTAAATCTGTTCATTTTTTGGAAACAATTAAAATGTTTATATTCATTGAAGAACAATTTTTAAATAGAGCAGTTCTCTTTGTTTCATTTATTACATGATGCAGACTTATATTTTGAAAAATCATCAAAGTCTCTGGCCCCGTAAAACATTTACTGTTTTTTTTTCTATATTGAAAATGCAATTATTAGTTAATAAAAATTTAAATGTGATTCTTCGCATTAGAAAAAAGTTCTAAGTAAGTTTTATGCAGTAGGAATAAAAAGAGGGGAAAACAGGTAAATATAAATTACATAAGTAAAAACAAAGGAGTGGAAGCGAACTTCCTTACCTTTTTTAAGTCTATTACATCTTGCAACATAAACCTAACTCTAGAACTTGTCAAGCGTTTATCCACAATCCTTTGCATTTCAGCAAAATAACCATCCATCTAAAAAAGGTAAAAAAATTTCATCTTGTTACAAAATATAAAATAACTTTTAATACACCTTTCTAAACCTGCAATAACTTATACAGTTATAATCTCCCTAGAAAGAATACCATGCTTCTTAGGATTCTAAGATATATGTCTTAATCTCACAGAACCATTGATGTGGGGGGGATAAGTGAAATAAAATGCTACCTATATTTTGATTCAAGTTGACCTACCAATAATAATAATAATAATAATAATAATAATAATAAAACTGATTTTTCAGGTTATTTACACTTGCTCAACTGTGTAGATGTCTAATTTCCATCATTTGCTGACACATCTGGCAATCATTTATCAAAAGCAGTTTCCCAACAATACATGATTAAAAACATAAGAAATATTCTAAGACAGAAAACCTGCATGTTTTCCTGTCTTTACATATTTTATCAAAGCAATAATTTATACAAGTTTGATCATGTTTCAAAATCAAACTGTTGCTAAAAAAACAACAAATAATATATAGTACCAGCAACTTATTAAAATCACTTCCTTTCCAAAAATATTTGGCACACCAGCAGCCACACGGTAAAATGGGTGAACACTGGTATTTCTAATCTGGTTTCAATTTCAGGCCTGCAAGGGTGTTTTTACTGTTTTTCCCACGTATAACATGTATATGACAGTTTCCCTTATAAAGTCCTGCATGAAAGCAGCCCTCCCTTATGCAGATAGCATTAGTGTGCTTTGCTATAATAAACTAAAACAAAACCTAAACTACGCATATTTGAGTTTATTAAGTGTGAGTTGAGTATAAGAGGATTTCAATATTGCAAATTATGGTATCAACCAATCTAATCAATGTCTAAAATATTAATTAAAAATTAATACTAAAATTGAGCTTTTTGAAAAACTTGGAAATTTTTTTTAATAAAAAAACTTTTATAATTACACACTTGGGGAAATTTTAACTTTTACAAAGAAATGCTGCATCTGTATTTGTTTTGTATTGTCTGTTGCCAGTCTTTTAGTTGTATTTTCAAGTTCGTCAAACTGTTGGCAGTAATCTTTCAATTCAAGAGTTCTTAAAGTTTACAGTCTTTTCCTCAATTCAGTTGAGAGTGACATGTAGTCACTTTCACAATCAGTTTCTGTAGCTCTTTTAATGCTTTCTATAATTTCATAGTCCATGCTTTCACATGCTGTCTCAATATTGCGATCAATTGTAATGTGTTCTAAAAACAAACAACTTCCAAAACGTTAGAAACAGTTTACAATTCCGCTGTGGCTTCTACATCAAGACCACATTCTTTTAGATTGTATTCACATTGTATTCTTTTAGAAACCCAACACCCCCTTCTTTGTCCAATGATGATCTGTCCCTAGCTTCTCCCCTTGTAGTTCCCGATAAACAACATTCTCTTTCCATCTTGTGAGCCACTCATCAATTGGTCCACAATTTTCTCCTAGCATTTTAATAAATTCTACAGTTTTTGTGGCCAAGAGCTCTAAAAATTGGGACACAAACCATTCAACGTCTCTAGATTTTCCAACCTTTTTGCACTTGAGACATTTGCATTTTTTTACAAACTCTTTATCAATTTTATTTCTAAGTAAATTGTGCAATGCTTTTTGGGATATCCCCATTCTAAAAGGCTGCTTCTCTTTGGCTGCATTTACTAAACATACCATAATCTACCCGCAATTTATCCTTTTTTTTCAGGCTTAAATCATTCTGCTAAGGTATTTTCGACATGTTACAAGTTACCCACACAGCATATACAAAATGTGTAGTGATTTATCCAAGTCTAAATATCCTGTCTCTTGCCATTAGGAAGAAAGCACCTTTTTCAAGTCGACCTGTTCCTTTATGGTTATTATAGGCATAATCAATGCTTTCTTTTTTCTTCAGCTTACAATGGCCACTCCCCTTCTGCAATCAAAGACTGATATGTCTGATGATGCAAGGAAGTACTTCAAAATATTTTTTGACAACACACTGCAAACTTATTGTGTGTATGCACGAAAATCCCTTATCCGCTGATGTTCGAGAAAGGGAACCAGTGCTCCCTTTAAGCACCACCTATTCTTTAATCCTGGGAAGTATTCATTTATAATCAAAGACCTTCATTTTCATTCCTTCTAAGACTGCTTTTGTTAGTCAAAGATGAATATTTTTACGTTTCTTCTTCCTTCACGTTCGTACGCGGTTTGTATGGATTTGGAGTGAATAATGACGACACTTGACGATGAAATATCAAAACACACTTTATTGGCCAGTATTGTCAGGACAGCTCCAAAACACATTTTTACAGTCGTCGAAGATCTACTATAAACATGCTGGAACTCAGTGACACAGCCTCCAGGTTATCAGGCTATAATGGTGAAGACAGCTTCACTGCAAAGCACTAGAGTACAGCTCCCGTCTCTGCTCAGTCGTTCTCGGAACTCCACACACTCTCAACGCTACAACTCGTGATGCATTCGACAACACACAGAGCACAGCTCCCAACTTTTCGGTTCGGTCATTCCCGGAGCTCAACACGCTCTCTCGACAATGCACTAACCGCGATTCACTAAGAGACGCACTCGCTGCCCGGCTCCGCAGGGATTGACTCGCTAGACGAGACACCAACTCGATACTAACTAACTCTCTGCGTATCAGCACAGTTTATATAGCTTTTGGCTGGTGTTCGAGAACATTCTGGGCTAAACCGGTAAGAATTCGTTCCAGAAGGTTCTCCATCAGTCCACGGCACATTGCCAATTTTTGTCGCCAAATGGGCTCGCTAAATGTGGCAACCCTGCCTTTCTATACCATTTTATGGAAACCCTAAAACTGCTTTGCAGTGGAAGCCATCTTACCACGCCTGTACATTTCATAACAGTATTCGAAGGAACTACAGAGGTATAACCACACCAGGGGGTTTGGTTCTAAATACACTTACGGAAATTTCTGCGAAATACAATTTATCAAATAATTACATAACGGAACAATAAATGAACAATGACAAGCAGCTTTTATAAGCCACAAACTGTTTATGGTGGATCTGAATTACCATATTTGCCAGTTTGAGTTTCATAAGCGTTAAAGATTAGTTTAATAACCAGCAATTTTTCCATTGATTATTAGCATATATTTGTTTGGGTTCCTGGAAATTTGAATGCAATAAGCTGTTAATTTTAATTTAGCAGATGTAATGCTACTGTTTTAGCACTGTACTCAATTGCAATCTTGTTTTTTAAAACGGGAAAATTTCCAAAAAATATTAATTAAAAAGTATAATTTATATTACTTTCTTAGTTTCCTAGTCGATTTAATTTTTGAATTTTTTTTATGGAGTTCACAGTTAAATAAAACACGTCTAAAATTTGCTATTTATATCACTTTAGTTTAAATTTTATGCACTTGATCCTCCCACAGAAAGACCAACTAAATCAGCAGCTTCGGCTGAAATTTCATTATCAAATTTAGAGTTAATACTCTCAGAACTAAACAAAAACATTCATAACAACCATTTGAACAGAACTGCATAGCAAGTTTCACTCTCAAAAGCTCAAAATCTACTGAAGATATGTTGAAGATGAAAACAGTAGCATTACATCTGCTTTCTAATCTTTTGGTTAATGAACAAATTAAAATGATTAAACGTTTTTCTGTTGAGAGTGGGAGTGTGGCTGGCATTACTATAATTCATTATTTCATAACTGGTACTTTTCTAATCATCCTAACAGTGCTCCAGAAGTTCCTAAATGAGAATGTAAGGTTGCACAGAGCTTAGAACTCCAGATCACTGCTGAAAAGATTACTGTCCGTCTTTTCAACTGATAGGAAGCATAAAAATCTGATGTATCCAAAAATATACATTGAAGGCAAATCCATAATGAAGACTTTAAATATTTGGGAATAACCTTAGATGCAGAACTCATTGATCATGAAGTATGCTTCTCCCATTTGGGCTCATACTTCAAAGATTACCTTAGAGAAAATAGAAGGTATTTTGGCAAAGACCACAAAAATCATTACCGGTGCACTGTGCCTTCCTCCAATAATTTAAAAATAATTCACAAATGTGGTCTCAAAAGCCTCAGAAAAAGAAAACAGTATAATTTAATAAAATTTATAAAAAAAGTATGTCGTGTACCATACTAAGAAACAAATCGCTAGGAAAACCTTCGAAAATTATAATGGCATCACTAGACTGAAAAAATCATCTCCTATGCAATTTGACAAAGATTATCAGAGCAGTTCTTGGCCTCAGTCCCAACAAATTTTTTCTTTTTCCAAGCGCCAGCATTTCCTTTCAGGCTTCCAATGAAATCTAAAATAGTATACAACCTACTTGAGCCATGCAATATAAAGGAACTGATTGACATCATTACAGCGAAAGAAATCAGGACCATTGAACAGTATCCAAAAGAGGTTCTGCAGCATTTCTCACTACTCAAGCAATATTACTTCACACAAGATTGGTAGTGGAGCCATTGTCTTTACTTGCGAGGTTCTGGCAATAGCAATGACACTTGACATACATAGGTCCTTTCCCATTTCTCAGCAAGCAAAAGGACTTGTCTTCAGTGACTCAAAAGCATCTCTACAGACGATCACCAATAAGATCCACTTTTGTCTAAATCAGATACAAAAGTTAGAAAATGTCTGCATTCTCCATTGGTTTCCAGCACATGTCAACATCACATATAACAATAACGTACATATAAACTGGCAAAAGAGGATCAAAATCTCAATAATAATAATAATAATAATAATGTAAATGTTATCGCCTAGGATGGAAATGCGATCGCCTAATTCAGATTGAAATAAAGCACCAGCTCCATATTCAAGCTTAAAACTGGCCACCACAGGGGATTCAAAATTGACAGGAAAGGAAAACCTACAGGAATTGTGATAGCTGACCGAACATGGAATTGACAACTGCACACACTTTCAATTTTCCAGCCATCCTTCCTAAATTGTTAAAAATTGGAGTGTTGTTTAAAGGAAAGAACCTCTAGAATGATAAGATTTTGCAGATTGCCAAGACTGTCTGTCATCTTCACCCACAGCACTATTCGAATAGGTTTCATCTCAGACATGACAACAACATCAGATGACAGTACATTTTCAAATAAAAAAATAAGCATTAAAGTATTTCTACTCCCCACTTTTCTAGTTCACTTCCTTGCTCAATAATATTTAAGCTCTGAAGTGCAACTTCTAAAATAAGACTTGTAGAAATGGCAGAACTGCATGCTACAGCAGACATGTTTTTTATATCCAGTGATCTCAGCTTAGGTTTGACTGCTAGCACAATAAATATTCTAATAATCGACATATTAACAATGGTATATGGATTTAAATACCACTTAAAAAATTGATTATTTTGAAATAATCAGTAATCCAAAAAAAAAAAAAAAAAATTGTGATATTTAGACATCTCATTATCAGAGGTATGGAAATTAGAATCCAAGAAATATGATATTAGTTCTGCAACATCAGTTCCTACATACAGGTTATGGGAGAAAAATTTTTAAATCAATATTTCGCTACTTTTCTTAGGCATATACTTTAGCATTCAGTTTCATTATAATAATTTTCTACACTTTGGCATAAAACTTTCATGGAATAGCAATAAATGCTAACCAAAATATTAAATTTAAAACTTCTGTTAAAATTAGTAGAGCTAAAATTTCTAAAATGAATTCCCTCCCTTTTAACGTACACATTATACGTTAGATTATCAAGGCTGACACAGCAACAACTGAACAGGACTGATTAAATTGATTGGCGTGAAAATTATTTAGATCTGTTAGCACATTCCATATTTATACTAAAAAACAAGTTATGCATTTAGTTGCTTGAACTAATAACTTACAAGATTAGCATCTCTTGGGGCTTTGTTTGATTTTCCTTCATCTAATTCTTTGCCTATGGTTTTTAAAAGCCGACAAAGACATTCAAGGGATTCTTCATCTTGCTGACTTAAAAGCTTCTTAATACACTCATGCATTATAGGTTCAATAAGCATATTTAATTTAAAGAGTTCTCCAATGAACCTAGAAAATAACAAATATGTTACAGATAAAAGATAATAGCATGAAATGGTCATGAACATCATTCATAATGAAATCTTGTGCATGCACACAACTAAAAGTAAGATTCACATGATAAATATTTCATAAAATTATTATAATTACCTTATATTGCCTAGTTGCCTATATCTCATTTTCTTCTCTTCTTCATCGTACTCTAATTGAAGCTCTTTCTTCTTTTCCTGCATTACAAGACTTTTCATTAGTTGCATAAATTGTAAGCATTTGAATCTTCTACACAGTCAAATTTACTATCTAGATGACATGAGTTTATTAGATATTAAAACGGATTATTAAACTTTAGAGTAATTTCACAGAATTAATTTTGAACCACTGACTTATGCTTACTTTTTTAAAAGTAAAAACACCTGGGTATTTGCAAGACAAATTACATACAGTTAAACTACAGCCCAAGGCAATACTGATAAGACATATCAGCAACTAATGGATACACAGAGACAGCCATTCTTATGGGAAAACTTACAAATTTCAATTTAGGTATTTTTAATTAACCCTCTGCTTACGCCTCTCACGATTTCTACGGGATACGAAATCCTCATAATATGAATCGAGTGAAAATAGTGTGCGTAAGTATTTTTTTAAAAATTAAGATGTTATTAAAATTTCTGCATTATACTAATTTTGTTTATAAAGATGTAAATAGTAATATAAGAAGATAGAGAATATATAAAAAAAGTGCTCCTTATTTCAGAACCAGAATGTGTCCAAATTAGTGTCATACGCGGAGGGTTAAATACACTGCTGGACAAAATTAATTTTCTCACATTTTTCCGAAAATATCACACAAAATATAGACAGTTGATTTTCATATGTAACTGAGACTGAGATGAGTTTACAAATTCCTGGGGGACGCCGCTATGCCAGCAGGAGGTATAAAAATCCGCCTTCAGCTGATCAGCTCATTCTGCTCTGCAGTGCAGTGGCAATTTTTATGGGCTTTCTTAAATAATCTTTTATTTTCTCTTTTTTTTTATGTGATATGAGTACACATCATCTCTTAGATTATAGTATGGAAATGAGGAATTGTGAGTAGGCTGAGGCAGGCCAGTCCCAAGCTAGGGTTGAAAGAGAAGTGGATGCAACACCAAATGCCATCTCCAGTTTGTGCAATCAGTTAAAAAACAGCAGGACAGTGTCCAGAAGACCAGTATTTTATACTTTCAGACAAAAGTCAGAAAACATCTACAGCCACACAACTATCTCGTGACCTCACTGCTTCCACAGGAACATCAGTTTCGATGAAGACAGGACTGTCTGATAAAAAGTCCAACATTTGCATTCAACTCACACTTTCCCACAAAAGAGAGCATTTACAATAGTGCATACAACACCAACACTGGACACAGCTTCAATAGGCCCTAATGTCCTCTTCAAGGATCAGTCCCCATTCAGTCTACAACCTGATTCTCGGCAATTATTGATAAGAGGGGAACCTGGAACCCGATACAATCCCAGCAACATAATGGAAAGGAACTAATATGGTAGTGGAGAAGCGATGGTCTGGGCAGGAATCAGGCAAGACACCCGCACACCGCTCCATGTATTTAACACTGATTCCGTGACAGGCAAGAGAGTATACAGCCTTAAGTGCAACTTTTCAGAAGTGCTACTGGCCCAGAGTTCATTTTTATGGATGACAATTCAGGACCAAATAGGGCCCACCTGGTTGATGACAATCCAAAAAGCGAAAATAGAATATTCCCTGAACTGATTGGCCAGTCAAATCTCCTGACCTTAAAATCCTATTGAATATGCTTGTGAGGGCTACTGAAATACACCAGCTCAATTCAGAAGCTTCTGGTGAAGGAAGTGGATGTGACTTTCACAAACAGTCCTGAACTTTCTTGTTAACACAGCATGACTACTCATTGTTCATGTTGCCTGTCAGTGGTAACAACACACCAAACTAGTCCCCTTTTTTACTGCCTTTTTTCAACCTCAAGTTTAGACTACACTACACTCTTGGCTATAACTAATGTTAATGAATTGCATTTCCATTGTTGTTTTGTATAAATTACTGTCATACAATAAACTATACACATACCTAATTTCATTTATTTCTATCAGTATTTTTTGAGATATTTGTGTAAAAGTGTTCCATCTTTTAATTTTGTCCACCAGTGTATTTCAAAGCTCAGAAACTATTGTATTAATGTGTTTAAATATGTTTATTTCTACGATTCCATTAAAAAAAACTTAGAAAACTGAAAGGCAAAAACTAAAAACAAATGGTAACAACATTTGATACTAACCACATTTAAAATCTAACACAATTCAATAAAAAGGAGAAAGTTTTAGTTAAATGACATCGCACTCTTAGAAATAATGACACATAAATATTTTCAAGCAGAAGACAGAAAAATATGCATATAAAGTTAAATTAAAACTTATTCAAACAATTTAAATTTTGTATAATTTTAAGTTTAAATTGGCACACACATTTTACACCTTTTATAATAATCTGTACATTTTAAGAGCAAAATATATAAATTAAAAAGGACATGATTTAATTATCATGCAATTCAATTTCAAAATAACATCAAATTCTATTACAAGCAATATTTAGGATAGAAAAATGACTGTCTTACAGGATCTGCAGATTCAATGGCTTTAATTCTGTCTTTCCTCTTAAGCTCATCAGTTCTATCTTGCTCAAACTCTTTCTGGCACTTGGTAAGTAAGAGCTTTCGGAAATTTACCTGTTGTCCAGGTTGTCCAGCTAAAGGCACTTTGATCTATTATGAAAAAAATTATGCATGTACCTTTCATGAAATAGCATGTATGCACATATATAACATACACATATCATAATAGCATAAAATGCATAATAACAAAAGTCCAGAATGTCCAGAATAAAGGCCTTAAAACTAATGTACTTTAGTGTTTAAATGCAAAAATAAAAGTAGACCTGTATTTTCATATGGATGCAAAGCAAATTTACTCCAATTCAAATCCTTAATTAAAAAAAAAGCAACTTTAAGAATTCACAGGTCTGTATAAAATTCCTGAATGCACAACTGAAATGTATGTGCTACACCAAGATGGCATATAATACGTCTTTTCTAGATGCAATAAACTCAACTTATCAAAATGTGAAACTAGCTAATATGGTGGTGTCCAACCTTTGGCCTCTTGCAAGCACATTTTCAAAACATCAACATTTTTGTTAAACATATTTCCAATCTTATATGATGTAGGGTTTTCCTTATTTTGCATAACAAATTTATTTAAAGTTTTTCTGTTCTCAACTTCTTAAACTTCTATAGCGCACGTTTCGTTGTTATTTCGCGGTCACGCTAGTAAGCCTTTTGGCTTTATCAGTTTAATATCATGCCGGTTAGATTTCTGAGAGTCCATCTCTTAGTAGCAATTTTGAAGTGCGTTCTTGCACTCGTTTATTTTTGAGATTTTGATTTGTATTCTAGTCTACGTTTAGGTATCACCGCAAGCGAACGGTGTTTTGTAACGACGCACAAAGTCCGTGCTTTCTGTTAATTTAGTTTGAGTTAATAAAGGGTTATTTTGCACCCTTCTTCTGTGCTGGTATTTAATTCACGCCTGTGCAAGAATTCATCAGGTTCATTGTAGGATCTAAGTTAGTGTAAGTCGACAAGTAGAGATAGATCTTACAGTGATACATCTGAAATATTAATTCCGGCAAATGGGTTTAAAGATGAATAATAATATTGGTTGAACTTTATGGAAATCAGAGAAGCGGAGTTCAAAAATATTTTTCAGTGTATTAAGTTTTTCCAAGTATTTCTCTGTTTCAATTACTAATATGGCTTGATAAATTCTGAAAACGGGTTAAATTTTTTTCATCTGATTTATCCACAAATTTAACTTTATCTGAAAAGCAATTGCAGTCCCAGTCAATTCAAAAAAGGTTTTTTTCTTTTCGCAAGAGATCTTTGTTGAGTTCAGCTGTTATATCCGTGAGAAAATACAGATTGGATAACCAATCTGGACGATAAAATTTCCGAATTCCAAAAACTGCTTTATTGACATAAGAAGTTCTACAAATCGTTGAAATAATTTTCCCCTGCTGAGCCATCTAACATCGGAATTAAGCAATAAGATTCCATGTTCGCTATCAAGTTCATCAGCCGCGCAATCAATTATTTTATAGTGTCTTGCAAGATAACTCTTATGACTATAAGGGCTTACCATATTGAGAAATATAAATGAATGGTTATTTTAAAAATATTTTTTATTTATAATACCTAATCGGGCTGGCGAGCACATGGTTGGGCACCGCTGGTCTAAAACAATGCCATATCATGTAAAACTCTTGTGTTATGTGTCTTACACAGAAAAATATTTCTTTCTCAAAATTTAGCCTTTTTAAGCTCTTTAAAATAATTTGTGCAATCTATCTTGGTATTTCACATTATCATTATTACACTATAAAAGTTGAAAGATACAGCATTTATTATATTAATTTTGCTAAAATCAAATTACCCTACAGCCCTGCAATTTCGATTAATAAAAAATCTCGCGTGGCCAGCACATTACTTTCCACCAGTTTCATATCTTAACATGAAATTAGCAGAATAAGCTTAAGGCAACCATCATTTCCAGCTGATCATTTGTAAATAAAGTCTAATTTGTTCACAAACTTTGAGGCTCAATGTTAATTATAAACAGTACTCAATTTTATTATTCTACTTATTACACAAACAAAAATGCAGGGGCATAAAGACTGCTTATTTATGTTATTGAATACCTAAATTACACTTCAGAATCAAATGACAGTCCAAGGTCAAAGTTTAGGCACCACGCGCATAGGGCACCATCTGTTAGAAACATCTGCATTTCTTTCCATGTATACCTTACAGCATAGCTAGGCCACAAATCCTCCGAGATGCAGATGCCACAGATGAACTGAGTACTACAATGGCTGATGCACACCTTCCAGAAAGGGTTAACTGCTTCATAATGAGAGCTTATCTTATTCTCACAGCACTTTGCAATATTCCAATATATTTAATGCATATAAATGTTATATGTTGTTCTCAATCACATACCCATTTTAAAGATCAAATTTGAGTCTTGTATCACATTATTTTTTTAAAAATATACAAATGTCTATTCAGAGTTTCAAGAAAAGTATCACTTCAGCCAAAATCTAATATGCTGTTTCTATAGATATTCCCTTAAATATTAAAAAATGATTATATTATATTTTAATACAGTTTTTCCATTAAAAACTGTTATGAGCTACTTCTGGTTGTCCAATTTTATCCAAAATCTAAGAACCTCTTTATATGAATGTAGGAAACAAATATAAAAAAACAGAAATTTTTGGAAGTTTCATTAAAAGATATCATGGATGAAAAAGAAGTCATCACATGCATACAATCATTGTAAAAATAGTAAAAATGTGTTATAGTGGACCTAATTTGTGCTCTTTCATTAAAAACTCGCTATTAAATTTTGGGATCGAAAAATCACTTTTCTTAGCTTTTTTCTTTTTAGAGAAGCATATAAGTTCAAGCATTTTTTTTTGGGGGGGGGGGGGGAGGGGGAGCTCTAAGTCCCATCAGCGTAAAACAAACCTTTATGGGGTTCATGTAAAGTACCACTTCAGAATTTCCAATTTTACCCAAAATCTATTGAATTCTATATCAATATAGAAAGCTTAAATATGGAAATTTTTTAAGTTTCATATAACAGTTATGGATGAAAAAACTGTCACACACTTAAACATGGACAGACAGATATGATTCTAAAAAGTGTTGTGGGAACTTTAATTTGTACTTATCCACTAAAACATCACTTCCTTACCTATGTATGTATATAGGCTGGAAGGTAATGAAAAGAACATTTAAAAACATATTGATAGCTAACAAAATAATAAATTGTGCTTGCAAGTGTAATTCCCCTAACGAATAAAAGAAATGATTGCACTGCAAATTGTTTTACATACCATTACAAAAAAAAGATTTCATTTTTCTTATTACCAATCTACTTTTTAATAATTTTTATTCATATTAAAAATACTTACCAGTGCCAACTGTTTGCACATATTAGCATAGGGAACACTGAAGTTTGGTTCATCAATTGCTTTTTCAAAAACTAAATCAATTACTCCTTTTAGCTTTTCTTCTGTATTTATACTTAAAGTTTTCACTTGCCCAACAAGTGTTTCAAACTTTTGAGGAGTCAATTTGTTCAAGATTCCACGAACTTTCCTATATAGATCCTGCAAGTGAAAAATTGTAAAAGACTGTAAGAATCTTTTATGCATAACTTTTCATACTACACATTTTAATATACAAACTGATTGACAAAATACACGATCTAATTTTAAAATAAATTATACCTACCATTTCACATAGAAGTGCTTTTTTGCATAGACTTTTCATACTAAAATTAAATATATTGTTTTATATATCCAAACTAATTCCAGGTCATAGCAGTTTCTCTAACACATTAGGAAAATGGATTTAAAGTAAACAATATTCAAAATACATACAAAAAATCTTCAATTTGTTTGCAGAGATATCAGGCTAAAATAATGCAGGTTTTTCCAATTGTTTATCTTTCCTGTACATTTTTAGCAACAAAAATACTTTGAATTGCAGTAGTTTATATATCATTTTGAAACTCTATTTTCTCTCTATATTTCTATAATAATAATTTTGTTCCAAAATCATTTAGCAAAATATTTACTAGGTGTTTTTGTTTAGATGTCAAAACAGGATTTTCTGCAAATTTACTTTTATGAGTACAAGCTAGGCAAGGTTACACAATTCATTCAATTTTAGAATATTTCAAAATGCCATAACTAAGTTCTAAAGATTCATCAGAGGTATGTTCTTTCTTGGCTACAGAATTTTACATGAACTTGAAATCAAGTGAAATTACACTAAGAGTAACTATAAATGATTTGTTGGGGGTTAAAATAACGCAACGTAATTTTAATATGAAGGACTGCAAGTCCCTTATATTCATTTAATGACAGAATATACCTCATTCACTCAGAATATATTTTCAAACTCAGGTGTGCAGATTTTCTCATGAAACATTACATAGTAGATATGAGTTAATATAAAGCAGTTTGCATTCAAAAATATGCAAAGACTTCATTCCACTGTTATTGTGCATTTCAAAGGCATTGAAATTCATCAGTCACTGCAGCAATTGGTAGTGATATCAACAGTCCATAGATACCAACTGCCTGCATAAAAGCAAAAACTTTGGTAGCTCCTTTCTGACTTACGGCAGAAAGAGTTTCCTGCATAGCCAACATAAATGAATCACACTAGCAGCAAACTTGACGTCAACTGAAAATTGAAATTATACGGATTACAGATGTAAAACATTTACAGCCAGATGATTACAACAACAAATATAAACTTTGCAATGGTCGGCAATTCTACAATTTTGCTGCTTGCTGAATAAACCAGTGAATAATGTTTCACTGGTGATGAATGATAAAACCATTACTATCTCTGGATATTGTCATGTTCTAGTTTGACAGAAATGGGATTCATCAAAACTCTTATGCATCATTTCACGAAAGTGTACAAGGTCTGTCTCACCATTAGAACACTATCACAGGTATGTCGCATATTGTATCTGCAGTTATTTCCTCGAAGGAATGACGATGATGATGATGGGAAAATGCATATATCCCACAAGACTGGGCTATGCTACTACCTGAATAATGAGCTCAACGTCAATAGATTGGGAATAAGGAAAAAAAAGACTTAATATTGTTCTGATAGCCACCAGAATTCAAAAGACCTCAAAATGATTTCTTTTCCTTTATATATATATACATATACAGGGTGAGCACAAAAACAGTCGCTGATTTCAAGGTGTCAAAAAATTAACAGTTACTTGGATATGTTGATAAATGCAATATCCACAACTTAGTGAACTCAAACATTTTTCATTTCTTTTCTTTACAGAATCGATACACATGACTTCGACTGCTAGAGGGCAGTGAAATCGAAAATGGCGTTCACCCCGCAGCAACGAAGCTGGTGTATGTTACAATTTGCAAAAACAAGCAGTGTTGTGAGAGTGCAGCGCGAGTTCAAACGAAACTTTGATGTTGATCTACCTATACACAAATCCATTTTGAAGTGGCATAAAACATTTAGTGAGATAGGTGCATTCGCGATAAAAGAAAAGGACATTCTGGCCAACCTTCTGTCTCGGAGGAAATTGTTACCCCCAACTCTGAATGATCTTCAAGAAAGCTGCTGTCAACTCCATCACACCGGATATGCTACACATTGAGTGTTTGTGATTCAAATCAATACCACCAAAAAGTTTATGTAACTATGTTAAAACTTCGGGCAAGATACTTCTTTCCGGTATTAAAGTTATCCCCTTTCGAAACTGGGGATTGTTTTTGTGCTCACCCTGTATATGTAAGAAAAATAAAGAATATGTAAAAGATTAAATTAGCAGTGTAAATTAATTTCCCTTCTCTAATTCTAAAAATAGTAACCCCTCTCTGCATTATGTCATTTCAAGACTATTCTATGTCATATTCTTACGTAATTATGATGATGTAAATGGAACTAAAACTCAACCAGCCAATAGTAATTTTGGAGCAATATTAACTGTCCAATAAGAATGTATTAAGAACCAAAACTAACTCAGTCTGAATAAGATTTCACCCTGAAAATAACGCACTTGCTTTCCACGCTTTGGCCTGGCTACAGTGCTGTCTGTCGGCTGCTGCTTTTTCGATACAAAATTGTCAAAAATGAATGCCTTTGGAGCAGGCACATTTAATGTGCCGATTTGTGTGTAGCCGCAACATGTTGCTCAAAATAAAACTGAAGATTTAATCTGCCTTCGCCTCCAATTTCCTGGTCATTGTTCCTGAATTTATTACATATATATATCAAACTTCAGGATCTCCAACACTTCATAACAGCTCCCTTGAAAACCATTAATAAAGAAATACTGCAATATATATGGGGAGGAATGGAACACTCCTTGGATGTGTGCCATTAACAAGAGGTGCACAGTCTGTATATGCAACAAAATTATATATTTATTTTAATTAAGAAACATTAGAAAATTTAAAAATTAATGAAGATACCTGAATTTCAGCAGTCTCATCAGCAGGTTTCTCCACCTTATGAGATGGCTTCCATGCATTTTCTGACTCATGTAATTTAATATTTTGCGTAAGAGAGCTTGAAAATGAAATAATTTTTTTTGGCTTCTCTCCTCTTCCAGGCTGACTTCGACGATTAACAGCAGTGTGAGGCTGAAATTATTTAGATAAAATTAAAGAAAAAAAAAATAAGCACCTATAAGCACTTTTCAAGCACATTTTAAGAAACAAATAAGCACCTATAAGCACTTTTCAAGTACATTTAAGAGGAAAAAAAATAATAAATAAGCACCTAATTACATTATACACAACTGCATAACCTTAAACAGACTTGTATGAGAAATACGTGTATGTGTATTTAATTATGGCAAAGCACACGAGGGCTATCTGCCTAAGGGGTGGGATGCCTTCATGGAGAACTTTCTAAGGGAAACTGGCTCGTATACATGTTACACATGGGGAAAACCACGAAAACGCCAATGCAGCCAGCCCGTTTGCGGAATTCGAACCTCGGACCGAACTACCAGTGCTCAGCAACTTTACCGCTCGGCCGCTGGTGTATGAGAAATTCAGTATTTGTTAAGAGAGAATGATCATTACTCAACCATTGAAAACAATTACATTTTTTTTTTTTTAAATTTTAAATAACAGTTCACTTTATAGAACTAGTTTACAATGGAAAAAAAAAAAAAAAAAAAAAAAAAAAAAAAAAAACATGCAGAGCTAAATTATATTACAATATTTAATGATGAAATTTTAGTTCAAAATAGACAAAATAAATAACCAATAAGCCATATTTATTATATTCGCATGGCACCTAAAAATAAATGCAATTTATTTTTCCACTCATTTTAATATTTAAATAATTTAACTTAAATCAAAATTCTGAACATTTTCTAAATTTTCATTGTATAACACTTTTTCCTTAACAGATATTGTAAACAAAGTAATTTAAGTAAAAATGAGTAAAAAAAGGAACTTTTCTGATATCAGAAGACGGGAAATTGCTTCATGCAGACATCCTTTAACAGTAAAAGTTTAACTAACCGGCATACTCAGAAATTGCAGAGTATCTGAAAATTACGCATAGTCGAGCGTAACTGGTAAAAGAGGAGAAGGGGTAGAATGTAGCCGTTGTTTAGATTTTTTCAGCTAAATAATGCTTTTGACATTTTGATATGTGCATCATATAAAAAATAGTCCAATGGAACTGAAAAATAATCTGCTTAGCAAGCACAGTGGTGTGCTAAGAGGTAAAACTCTTTTATCTCTGCAAAATATCGCAAACTTTATTGCGCAATACGTGTGCCTCAATTCTTCCGCACGTGATATTACATAATCAAAATCAACAGCTGTCAGTATTCGGAGAATAAATAACGCCCCTTTGCTTCTTCCGGTTTTCACCCTCCTGGGCCCATGTGGCATATTTACCATTGAGCACGACGCGGTGCGATATTCCTGCCATACTAAATTATTGTCCTAGTCCTTTCTTCTGTCTGTAGAGTACAGGTGTCATGCAAAAATATTCAAACAGATTTAAGAGCGGTCAAAATGGATACTTTTTTTTCAAATACAATACCCGAATTTTTTCGTATTTCCAATACTTCCTTTACTTCATATATGGAAGTAAAAAATTAAAATTTTCCCAAAATGTTTCAAAACCTCACTAAATTCAGCCCCTGTTCATATTCAAATTATATTTCATTTATAATATATTTAAAATTTGTTCATACTGTTGCAGTAAAAACATTGTTTTTTTTTTCATGGCACATGTATAGCAGAAAAGTACATCCCATATTTACAGAAGTTTCATTTTTTATCCCAATGACTTTTGAAGAGTGAAACTTCGTCAAGACAAAGCAGCAAGTCACACTTTGAAAAGTACCACTGCTTTCCTTGAAAAAATTATGACAGACACAGGTATTGCATATTTATCTTTTCCATGTATTCCGGAGTAGTCCCCTGACATTTATACCTAAGGACTACTGTACATTTGATCTCTTGAAAAGGGTTCTCTGTAAGTGTAAATTCACCATGATTAGCAGTGAATGAGAAATGAAAATCAATACCTGATGAATAATAAATATCACGATGCTGACTTATAGTCCCAAAAATAATACCAGACTGAACATTTATAAAATACTCTTAACATTTTAAACATTAACCCTCTCGCTGTGCATCCCGCGATTTCCACAAGCAACGTTAAAGTAGCAAAATTTGTCCAACCTGCGATTTCCGCAGGGACGAATTTTTGCCATCTATTTAACTGTGCAACATGCCCTTTCCCCGTTCAAGGTTTCCTTTCCACTTTTCTGTGATGTTTAATTGTTTATTTAGATGTGGGCTAACAGATGGTGTTAGTTGTCCGATACTTCTGCCATATTCCTGACAATATTCCCGACACTGATAGTAGTTCTGACTCTGATTTCAACTGTACTGAAGATAGTTATAGCGATTAAAATTTCTCGGATTCCTCTGCAGATAGTGACGAATGAGAAAATTAAGTTTCTATTGAAAACGTTCGACAGCAAACTGATATGCAAAAATTTTCATAGTATATATGTTTTACCTTTGTATTTTATATAATAAATCATAATTTAACCAATATTAATTTTCAAAATTCTTCTTTTATATCATTATTCTTCAATTTCAGTATTCTGACAACCTTTTTCTATGATCCAATTCTATATTGAAAGGGGAGGGGAAAAAACTTTCACAAAAAAATTTTTGTATATTTTTAACAATCTCTAAAATTAACATTTTAATATTAGTTTATAATTCTAAAATCTCTAAAATTATTAATTATATTTTAACTCCAAAATATATGTAGATTTGAAATATGTAATAAAAAATATGCAATTTTTGAACTTATTTTGATAAAAAAAAAGTATGCAGAGAGAGGGTTAATGAAACCAAACCATAATTGTTTAAAAAATGTGTAAACATGATCTGCACGTTACCTGAACAGAAAGTCGGTGTGTGTTTTAAAAATATTTATACACTCTAAATACTACAAGATATGTTGATTTTATAACTTGCATATAATACAAAATTAGAGAAGGGAGGGGGAAAACTTACAGGTCTTGGTACACCACCTCTTGCATATGTTGGCATAAATGGATCAGTGTAATTTCGAACAGGAAGAGACACTGGCACAGCTCTATTCACTTCAGTTAGCTTTTGAATATGAGCCTAAATAGAATGTATGAAAAATTGAACTGAAAAAGCCAATACTCCACGTTTTATACACACATTAAGTTCTAAAATAATTTAAAGCAAATACTAACTGAAAAATAAATGCAAAATTTGTTAAAAAATCTTAATTTTCCCTAATAACTCTTAAATATTAGTACTGAAAGCCACCATGAATATGTTAATAACCTGCATGAATAAAGTGGAAAAATTTAACATCCAAAAATCACATCAATGAATTAAATGCTTACTTCTATATATTACCATAAAAGAAATGATTTTAAATATTAATATTCTTGGACATTTAGAAACAAATATCTAGTGTAAACTATGCATTTGCCAAGCATTACAATACATACTGAAATTCTTTAACACACTTCAACAACTAAATTAATCCTTAAAATTAGTTCGGTATGGTTTCTTTTGCCAAAAGAAAAAATATATAGTAACTCTTTTGCAGCCTTTTTCAAGCAAAAGGTAATGGACTCTCTCAAAAGTAATAAGCCATGAGGTTTAAAAAATGACATTATATTATTGCATATTTAGAAAGATACAGCATACAAGAAATATTGTATGGCAAACTGCAGTTCATGAGCCAAATGAAGTATTTTAGTCTCTTAAACGCACATTGCAAAAAAAGCCTAGTTTTATTTTGAAGACTGAAATATTTCACCTTTATTGCCAAATCTTTAATACAAAGGCAGTAGAGAAGAGCACAGCTAACATAAAACTTTTACTTTCTTTTAGCATTTTTCAAAATGCAGGACACTAAAGCTTTTTTTAAAAAAAGCAATAAATTGTTGCTACTGAAATCACTACTCTCAATCACACATTTCAATCTCAAATTTCATCAGTCTCACATTTGGTCACATTATCTTTCACATTTATCAACAAATTTTCATTATTTTAGCAAAGTCAAATCAATGAGTAAAGATAAGTCACATCAAACAGTTAGGCATGGAATTTTCATTTTGCTTGTTCCAAAATACTGACACTAATGAAATCATTGTAGATCTTCCAAGGCATAGGTACCACACTTCCTTCGCCTATCATTTTCCGTCTTTCTCCCATCTGGTCTTTCAGTCATCTTGTATGTCTGACATATTCTTCATGTTAGGTAGAATGAAAGACGGCTCAATGGAAAACTGTATTATTGTTGAATGCCCAATTACTTCACATTTACTCAAATACATGGAATTTTATTAAAAATTTTACTACACAAACTATCAAAGTTTTCCCAAAGCGTATTATACAGGAATGCCACTCAAACAGGAGAATGAAACTCCCCAACTTTTCCAGGTGCTTTAAGAAAATTCCAGTCTATCCGTGTAATGCACGTTGGCTGTGGTTAATTATGGTATCACCAGAGAACAAAAAATTTGCCAATTACATATGATATATATATATAATATTAAATGAATCATTTAAACCGACAGTTTTCAATTTCCTTATTAATAAAAAAATTCCTCCCTATAATGTCTGTCCTCATGTGATAAGTTTAGAAGCATTTTTGAGATTTTCCATGCTTGTGTCTAGTGAAAAGTAGAGATAATAAAGAGAAGATTCTAGTATCAGATGTAAAATATTGTGATTTCATTTTCTTCCAGATGTTTTCCAAAAAGGAAGAAATTCATTGCAAACTTTCTGTAAAATACATGCATATTAATAACATGGAGAGATTTTTTTTTATTTTGTCACATTTTTCTGGAATCTTCTAGATTTGAGGGTCTATAAACCTTGCCTTCAATTACTTCTTATCTTTCCAAGCTGCAATGTCTAAAATCCTAAAGAAAAATTACCCCTACCAATTTGGTAACAGCAAAAAGCCAGAAATATTTTGGGGAGAAAAACAGAAGGAAAAAGGTGTAAAATTAATTTTACCAAGAAAAATGATGCATATTCTGAATATTCTGAGACAATTACATGGGTATTTTCCTTTTGCTAAGAACTGCTTCGTAAATTCTGCATAGCATTATAACTTGTTTATTTTTCAAATTCAAGATTATATAAGTGGCCAAAAGAAAAATATTTTATTTTAATGCTATTTTTTATACATAATTTCAAAGTATTACCATTATTTTGATGAAATTTATCAATGTTACAATGTTCTTAAAAAAAAAAGTTGAAAAATTCCCAGATCTCGGCATTAAAAATTTTCTATAGAAACTGATCTTAAAATCGTCAAAATGTTGAGAAATCACCAAATTTGGAGCAATTTTGGAGCAATTTAATAAAAGAATTCACATCGCCAAAAGCGAAAAGTTGCTTAAAAGCTCTTCATCAGAAAAAATGAATTTTGAAATTCTTACGTTTCACTTCTTGCTAAGAAACTCAAGTATCCCACCACTTATATTAGAAATAGGAACAAATTATAACCCATTAACACATTCAAAAGATAACCATATTTGTCAGTGAATCGCCTCCTCCAAAATGGCAATCGTAAAAAAAGACAAATTTCAGACAATTGAAACTAAGGACCTTTTACCGATTTTGGCAGAAATTAACAACATTTAAGAACCAAAAACGAATTTAAAAAAAAAATCTAAGGACTTTTAAGGACCGTACGAACCCTGGTTTGGTGAGAAATTTGCCGCCAACTGAGGGCCTATATGAGAGTAGTTCAATTTCAGGGTTATGCCAAAAAGAAAGAGAAAGAAAAAAATTTCCTGAAATTTGAAAGTATTATTTACTAATAATAAATAAATTTAAAGGTAAGAAGCAACATTAAATGATAACAAATAACATAAAAATAAAGATAATTACTTAAAAACTGAATTAAAATAATTAACGATATTTTAGCAAATATCGATTACTTATAGCAAATATCGTTGATTATTTACTTAATTTTTAACCTACATGACTAATTACTATTTTTTTATTTTACTGCAAAATGAAAAATAAGGCATTTATTAAAAAGAGAAAAAAGAAAAAAAACAGGTTTAAAAGAATTTGAGGTAAAATCCTAGCATACGCTAAGGCCTTGGGCATGATTTTGATAACTGTCACCAACACCAAACGACCCATTTACTGCTTATCATAATGTCACCAAATCCTGTGTGTACCATAGTACATGGAGGCTATTCTAACCAAAGAATGTCTATGTAAAGAAGGAAAGGTTCCTACGCCGCTAGAAAGTGGAGGAATTGCCGTAATTTTAAAACTTGAAAAATATTTAGTATTTTTTCCAAAAGAAATGAAAATGTAACTCTGTAACATGAAATGTCATTGAATACTGAATGGATATGCAAGTGCGATTCACCATAGAAAAATATTTTAAGCAACGGAAATAAGAGATGAAATGTAAATAAACATGACGGGCCTTCTTAAATATCTTCCTTTTCAAACCTGTAGCAAATAGAGTACTGGAGCGAAAATCTTCCGTTTCAAATCTATTACGAAATCATTAAAAAATATTATCTAAAAAGTTATATCTAAAAAAATGTACAGAGAGCGATTCAATTTTTTTTAAAATTTTGCGAATATGATCAATATTTCCCAGATAATTATTCAAAAACTTATTTTACATCTTGCATTTTCATTTGGTTGCAAAAACTAGCACTTTAGATAAGAATGCTAGGAGAATTTACGCTCAGGCAAAGATGCCATTTTACTTCTCTAGGTGCATGGTGGGACAAGTGGTATCCCACCATGTCATGAATGACCTTCAAAGTTTTTTTTTTTTTTTTTATGCATGAAATAACATTGTATAAGGGGCTAATTATCTATGTGTAAAGTTTTTTTTTTTTTTCAAAAATTATTTTTTATGCAATGAACCTCGAAGGCATCATCTGTATTTGTATTTGTCAACATTTATACATATATATTTATTCACCAATTTAACAGCATGCGTTTTCAGCTAATATTTTTTTAAAAAACAACATAATCACTTTATATACCTGAATCAGCCGTATTGGGTAGCTTTTAAATTAAAAATAGAAATATTTTACTTTAAATTCATTTCCTTGAAGTTGTTTACTATCTTCTGTGAATGAAAAAAAAAATTACACCTTTTTGAAGAAGAGACACATCAGATTTTATTGATAAAGACATCTGATAAAAAAAAAAAAAAAAAAAAAAAAAAAAGAGCACAAATTATATGCCATATAATGATTTCATGACATCACCTATGAAATTTTAATATTAATGAACCTTCTAATGGTAACCACTTCCCCTCCTTTAACCCTTTCTAAATGGGTGTTACACATATGTAATCCTTATGAATGTCTTTCACAGCTGGGCATCAAACCCATGCATCATTAGAGAATGAGCTTAGGAGATGGTGATGCACATGTGCATTTTAAGGCGAACCTTAAAAGACTACTTGATGGATTTCTGTGCTTATAACTTTTGAGCTGAGAATAGTTTTAGGATTCTGACCTTCAGTTTGATCACATTCTGCCTAACTTGTGTCAGCTGCACAGAGGAGAATGGGAAGTGTAACGTAAACAGACAGAGCTCAACTCACCAGGTGATATGAACACATTCGTGTTTCTGATATCCCTTCAAATCCTTTTTTCGCTAGCAAAGTGTCTTTAAGGGTTATTATGTGGAGTTCTCTTACACTTTGTATTGCTTTTATATATTATACTTCACATTTTTCCCTTTTTATTTTGGAAAACCTGAAGTTTATAATGGCAAGCAACTGTTATTTATCAGAGGAAGGATATACTCGCATGGTTAAATGAGCCAATTAGTCACATGGATGAGAGTGATTCATTTTCTAAAGAGTTTCTATAGAGAATATTTCTAATGGTTCTGACAGACATTTTGTCAGAGACTGAACTCTTTGAGTGACTGCTTTTCACTTCACGTAAATTGTTACTTCTTATACTTTTTTAAAATTAAGTTTAAAGTTTATTATTAATGCATTTTGTGAATTAAAAAATTTTGGTACAATTCCGTTATAAGGGGCATAAAAAATCGTTAATACTACTGTTGATGCTGCAGCGGCAGCGCCAAACAGGCGATACGGACTTAAAAGCTGTACAGAAAAGCGCCAA